CGGAAGAATGGACACACGACTTCTTATCAGCAATTTAGTGGGTGTTGTCGACCAAGCACCCAGGGTTCTGATAGTGCCAAGCATAACACGCATAGTTCCGGCCTCTATTAAATTGATTTGGAGATGCAACCCCACTGTGATCTCACTCCAGTGTCTTCCTTGCTGGCTGTGGTAAAGAAACGCCAGCTTCACACCCCAAAGATGTCTCTAGATGTTCCGGCACAAATCAGCCATGTCTAGCGGAGGGGATGCAAGAACTCTCAAGACATCCCAACAGAAATTATGTGTGTCGTAGGAGTCCAAAACAAAACACGAATCCCCACATTGAAGTCTTCATAAGAAAGCGTCCCACCCAACGCTAAATGCCGTGTTCTTGGCCTGACAAGGTCCTTTCCACCCTTTCGAGCCAATATTTCTCCAGCTTTGGGCGTTGGCCTGCCATGTGAACAACATCGTGAAGATCCCAAAACGGGTCAACTCGAAGATTCAAACTCTGCTCATCCATCATGGATGATGAATTTCTCCTACACATCAAACTACCACTGCTTCATTCTCTATCGGGCTTCTGTGCTGATACGTCAATGGCAAAGAACAAGCCGGCCTAGTCGAAGCCACTCCACACGAGCCTTGGTACAGCCGCAGTTTCCAGGCCAAATTGGTGCCTTGGTCCTCAATGCCTTCAACCTAATAGCGATGGCCTCCACCTGGTAGCTTCTTGCTACTCTAGATTTTTTCACTTCCAGTTGATCAGTGATGAGGTTTACTGAGGGACCACAGCACTTGAATCAGCTGAGTGATCTGGGACAGCCCTCGGCCCACTGAACAGATCTAGCTACCCTGGTCTGGGTGCAATTGAAAGGTTTGCTCACATCAATCTCAGCTCTTTGCTGTTTCAACCTGACCTCCAAACAGCAATTAAGGCCCATGAAAAGTCATTGGGGACGAACATGAGTTGCTCGTTGTGTTTACAACCATAGCAGAACGCGGACACACCATCATAGTCAGTTGCAAAGACTGACATGCACACATGTGAAGCAACCAACAAGAATGCATGAACTCCTGCACCACTCCTCCATGTTCCTCCTAGTAAACTTTAAGGTGCTGACATAGGCGGTCAGAATCGTGCAATCACTTACGCCTTGTGCCCTGTGCCCAGGTCCCAGGGGTCCGTCCCAAGTGCGGCGAAGCGGCCCAAAGCCCCAAGGATGCATCCAGCGCGCAGTCTGCCAGCTCGTCCAAGTTCAGGCGTTTCAGCAACGCAGCCTGCGCAGGTGAAAAGCACAGCCATTCTACGAAGGTGCAAACCAAACAAATGATGGGGACACCTCTGAAGACCTCCAAACAATCATTGAACCCCCAATTCAGAGTGTCATCTTCTTAAAAATATCTTCAAAAAAACAGAAGATGACACTCTGAAGGAATGGAAGGGTGACGAAGAATGGAAGGGCTTTGTCTTTCGAAAAGAAAGCTGAGGCCTTGATGCAAATTGACTTTGCACGTGTTGAGGTTTATCCAAAACTGTTGGTCAACGTTGGTCAGAATGACTCCTCACTCCGCACCCAAATTGGACCCATGTAGAGTGCTAAAACCAACCCTTCCCACAAACAGAATATAAACAAATACATGTATATATATATAATCATATATATATACATGATTTTATATATGTTTATTTACAACAACATAATGTGCCCAAACGTCCCCAGCTTAGTTTCTTGAACGACTTCAGCCGCTGCGTGGCTCTCATCGCTGCGCCTTGAGTCGCCGCCGTGCAGCTTGGAAACCACCCCTGCAGCATTCCACCAATGTGATGGATGTGAAGCTCTATGGATACTGGTAGTAGCTTCTTGTTACTAGTAGCTATTTGCTACTAGTAGTAATGCCAGGAGGTACTACTAGCGTCCTTGCTCCTAGTAGCGATGCCGTTTGTTACTACTAGCTATTTGCTACTAGTAGTAAGTAGTAACATTAGTAATGCATAGTAATGCCCTTTGTAACTAGCAGCGATGCCCTTGTTCCTAGTAACTTCTTGGTACTAGAGAGTTCATAAGGCATCTTTGACATCTAACATCGATTGGTGACATGCAAAACCTAAGGAAGTTGGGTGTAGTGTAACGGTGTAACCGTGTATCTAGTTTCGAAACGATCACTTTCACATGTGAAAACACATGTTGATGCATCATGAGCTCAGTGAATGCGATTTCAATGGCACTGTATTGACTCCCAAGCTTCACTCCGGTGCTCCATGGTGCTAAGTTTTGCTGCATTGCGCGCGTCATCATGTCATCTCTGGATGGATAAACAGTTGCAAGAAGCAACCTGGTGGATGATCCCGTGTGAAACCACTGAACACTACGATGTTCAAATACGATCTGAGAATCCCCAAATCTTAGGGGGATCTGCTTCACTAAAACACTTTGGCATTTGGCAACACCTCACTGAGCCGGTCACCTGGCTAGAGGCTCAGGTGCTGAGGGGAGACTGACTTGATTTCGGGGGCCGAGAGTGCAGAGTTGACTCGCTGCAGGAAATCTCGCAGAGTCAAGGACTCTTCACCGGTCATCTGAGTGTACTGACCATGGAAGAAGTTCACCACATGTTCTCTCGCTTCACTAGGTGCTTGCTTCGCAAAGTCCATTGCAGTTCGGCCATGAGAGGTCTTTTGTTGAGCATCAACACCGTGATTCACGAGGAAGTGGAGCATCCGACACTTTCCTTGCTTGGCAGCAACATGAATGGGATAAAGCCTTTCCCCTTTGCAAACGATGGAATCGTCCACATGTTTGAAGTTGTTGGATCGCAAGAAAATCCTGAGCTGTGCGTGGTGCCGCCGTTCCCGGTCATTCTGGTTGCTTCGCGCTCCTCTCACAGGTTTCAGAGCTCTTCGGACTCCAGGGGGCTGCGCAGCAGTGCATAAATCACCGATGTCGACAGGCACTTGATGGGCCCGTAGGCAAGCATCTGAAAACAACCAGGGAGGTGTTGTGGAAGAAACAAGTTGCAGGCTGCCAATGTTCATCGGCCACCTGCGACGACTACGAGAAATGGTACATTTTGAGCCTGAATTTCCGAGTTGCATACGACACTCGGCTTGCACCCTTGCCTTCCTACACTCCTCCCTAACATAGCCTCAGTCCTCCAGAAAGAACAATCTTGTGTCTGACAGCATCTCGTCAATCTCATAAATCGGACACACACCAAAGTAATCCAAAGTAGCTGCGGATGACATTACCATACATTACCCGTATCTACCATCTACCCCTTCAAATAAACCAAGGATTCTTGGAACAGATGGTGGGAAGCAGAAACCCAACTCACGAGAACCTCCGTCCTTGGCCCATTGCTGACATGCTCGAAGTCGTGGCCACCAGCACGGAAGCCCAAGTCCTACAAAAATGCTCCGCTGAAGAGAACAAGCTAACACTCATCATTCGTCCACGTGTAACGCGCGGCGTTTGGCATTGCGTAGGTTGAGACCTTGCGGTAGCAAGGGACGATCGTCGACTTCGCTTTCCATGCTGCAAAACTGCGATGAAAGCATCCTTGCGGAAGAAGTCTGACCCCTTTGGATGACCAAAAAAACATCAGCAGCTCTCCTGTCGCAAGGCCCACAGTAACGCAGCGCGATGGCGGTACCTTGGACCGAAAGGATGGCCGGGTGAAGAGAGTGGGGTCGAAAGGACTCGAAGCCTTCAGATCTATTGGTGTATTGCTCGTTGGATTGTTCGTTGGATTGTTTAGACGAATTCAAGTCAAACCCAGCCTCAGCACATGTGACAAATCTGTGGTTCATTGCGCCTTTTTTTGTTGGTTCTGATGACCAATGATCCGGACGTCACCTTGAGTCTCAGGCTCCGGGAGAGCCACTGCAGCAGCGTAGAGATGAGAGCAACATGTCAAGCCTTGAATTCCGATGTGGAGGAGTCTGACTTGAAACAAGACCAGGGTCAAGGCTGTAAAGCAAAGCAACGGAAGGAATGTAGAGACAGGACACAAACTATCACAAACTGTGACTAACCTCGACTAACCTGATATCATATCATCAGTATCTACATTTGAAGTGGCAAAATCCTCACATGGCCTGAGTTTCTTATCCGCCACACCACACGACACTCCCTGGCCCCACGGGCAGGTATCTCTCACCACCCCTGCAACCACCTGCACTTTTCATGACAAAGGTACTATTTGGGCAATTGCATTCGAAAAGGGCCATGTCCACCCGCCGACCTGGCTTGCGCAACGCTTGTGTTGATGTCCACAGTCTCGTTTCCGTCGCTCAGACTTCATTGCTCACCAAACAAGTGTGTCGTTCAATTGTGTCTTTCAATCTGGTGACAAGCAAAGCCCCAGGCAATTCTCGGTGTAAGAATGGGAGACGAAGACATCCTGCTTGCAAGATTTCCCAAAGGGGGAAGACAAAGAAGCTTGTGCAATATATAACTTGGGCGAAAATGGGTCGGCAGGATCTCAATTGCCCATTGAAATACACAAGGCAACAAACACATGGGGGGTGAACGACTCTGGGCCATCCCAACTGGCTCTCCATCGTCAGACGGCCGGACACCATCCTCGAGAAAGGAACCACTCCGTGACACGAAGCCACTAGTAACGAGAAGCTACTAGGAACAAGTGCATCGCTACTAGTAACAAGTGCCTTACTAGTAGGAGCAAGGACGCTACTAGGAACAAAGGGCATCGCTACTAGGAGCAAGGACGCTACTAGTAGCTCCTGGCCTTACTACTAGGAGCCAAGGACGCTACTAGGAGCAAGGACGTTACTAGTAGCCTCCCATTCAAACTCCCCGACTTCTTCGGATCGCTCCCCAAAGCCTTAACGTGACTTACGTGTTCAGCTGGGGTCGTGAAGCTATGACCAAAGCGGAAGAGTCAGTCCTCCATCTGGCCAATCTCCCAGCCCTGCGGGCTTGGTCGCATGAACCCAGAGGCCAAATGGAGAACATTCAAGAACAACTTCCTCGTGGGCCCAATCTTCGGGTTAAACCGCCAGAACATGAGGACTTGGACTTGGCACTTCAGCGATGCCCTTTTTGCACGGCGTTCACAAGTTCACACACACGAAGGACGTCCAAACGACGAATTCCAACACCACGCCTGGGGATCACCCCTCAAGGTTCCCCTGGTCCAGCGTGGAGTACGTACCGCCCCCACCCCCAGTGACCGGCGGAAAACAGCTCATGCCATCACGAGCTGGGCGGACAACTCCTGCTGCAAATACGCAAATGCAAAGGGTTGCAGGAACCTCCAATCTAACTCTCAAAGACTCAAATGCGCAAAGGGTTGGGAACAGCGTTGGGTTGCTTAATGATACTTCATGTGGGTCATTGACTCTGCCAAATGATCATTTTCCCTTAAGGTTGTGCTGGGAGTGTAATTTGCACAGCTTGTTTTGTGATGGTATGAGTTCCACTTTGGTATTTGCAATGAAGCCACTCTCTGACCTTGAGCTGCAACTCTTCACATTGTCTGGGAACTTTCATACCTTGGTTGGTTCAATCTGGGAGTTTGATACTTTGAGAACGGTCAACCTTGTTCTTTGAAGATTGGACCAAACACTTCAAGGGGAACAACCTCTCTTGGAGCCCGAGGTGCGATCAGCGCAACTCTGCGAAGTGGGTGTCTCCTTTGCAGCGATGAAACGGGGGCCATTTGGAAGGCTTTCCTTGTCTGATCACGTTGCTTGCAATTTTGCGAGTCAGGATGAACACAAAGCAACTTTCATAGTTAACTTGCGCTGTTTGCCCTTTTTGAGGTTATCCCATAGTTTAGTTTATACACAGCACATAGTAGCCACGGGCCCAGGTCTTTCCAGTTAGTGTGGCTGGGTCGGCTGATCCCTGGGAGTAGTGTCATCCGCTTTGTTTTGCAATGGAGTTCCGGCATGCTGGGTGCATACAGCTGTCATTGCTGCTTCCTTCCGCTGCTCGAGCGGATTGCCTGGGAATTTTGCGGTGGCATGTGGCAGTTTCGTCCTACCACTGCCTCGCTGCAAGAATTGGAGACCTACACGAATGGGTTGGCAACCTACATGTTTGCAAGCTGCAGTGCTTCAGTTCACTA